GCACAAAGTGCTCTATGGCCTCAAGCAGTCACCTAGGGCATGGAACAAGAAGATCGACTCATACTTAGTCGAATTGGGATTTATCAAATGCAAATCTGAGTATAATGTCTATGTTCAGGTTGTAGCACAAGATACAACAATCATATGCTTATATGTCGATGACTTTCTAGTAACTGGAAACAGCTTAGAGAGCTTGTCGAAATTCAAAGAGCTGATGATGAAAGAATTTGAAATGTCGGATCTGGGAAAATTGTCTTATTTCTTAGGCATGGAATTGCAAATGGCGAAGAAAAGTATGGTGCTACATCAAAGAAAGTATGTCAGAGAAATACTCAAGATATTCAGAATGAATGATTTGAATCCTGCATCTTCACCTGTCGAACCAAACTTGAAGCTGGAGAAGCATGGAGATGAAGACAAAGTCGGTGTAACTTTGTTCAAACAAATTGTTGGATCTCTGAGGTATGTGTGCAACAGTGGGCTTGATATTGATTTCACAGACGGATTAGTGAGTAGATACATGAGTGAACCAAGGGTGTCACACATGAAGGCTGCAAGAAAAATTCTGAGATACTTAAAAGGATCAATAAACTGTGGAATACTATTTCGATGAGACTCTGAAAGCAAAGAAGCAATAATTAACTATTTTTTAGATGCTGATTGGTGTGGAGATAAGGAAGATCGAAGAAGCACAACTGAATATTTTTTTTCAAGTATTCGGTGCCCTAATCTCATAGTGTTCGAAGAAGCAACATGTGGTGGCATTGTCATCGTGTGAAGTTGAATATATAGCAGGATCTTATGTTGCATGTCAAACAATTTGGATCAGATCTGTACTTGAAGAAAAGAAGGTTGAAGTGAAGAAACCTCTTGTGTTGCAAATCGACAACAAGTCGGCCATAAATCTGGCGAAGAATCCAGTTATGCATGGAAGAAGTTAACATATCGAAACAAGGTTTCACTTCTTGAAGGAAAAGGTTAATCGAGGTGAACTTGAAGTGAGACATTGCTTGAGTGAAGCACAGTTGGCCGACATTTTCACCAAAGGATTGAAGATCGACAGATTCCTGAATTTGAGAAAGAAATTAGGAATAACTTAGATTGACTATTTTTAGAATATGTTCGACAACTTGAATTATGGGGGTGTGTTGAAATATTAAATTAGATATGTTAAAATATTAGATTTGATTAGATTTAATATTTAAATATAATCTAAGTTGTATAGACTCAAACTCAATTAGGATTGTATATAAATTATTCTAGTCGGTATTATTATTTTTACAATTCAATAATACAAATCTTTATTTCATTTATTTTCTCTCTATTCTCTCCTCACTAAAAATGTCTTACGCACTAACAGTTTTATTATGACGATGTAACATTTTTGTGTGATAGTTTTTAATTAAATTATTCCTGAATAATCTGAATAATATACGAGGTTAGAAGGGTGTTAGAAAACTACATTCATGATGCTTGTCCCATATCATACTAAACAAATCGATATAAATAAAGACACGCCTCAAACGAGAAAAACAGACCCAGTTAAATAGAAATTTTTCACATTGTGACTCCTTCTAACCAGCTTCAAAGGAGTTATTCAAACTAATGTTCTTTTCGTGAACACACTACATTTACCAACATCAACAATTGGGGTAAGAGACTTACTCCAATCTATAGCACTTATTTCCACTTCAAATAATTTATCATATTTCACTCCAAAAAATAATTGATATAAATAATTAAATAATTGATATATCTAGTCTAAATATATTATTTATTGCAGAATTTAAAAATAAAAAAATTGTCTAAAAGAGAATGGATGGAGAATGTGTTAACATTATTAGCATTTATTTATATATATGAGAACTCCTGTATTATTTGCCAACTCACCTCATATTTGAACATTTATTTGAGATTGTATATCAATTATTTTTCTTAAATCTCAAAGGATCTAAATAAATGTTAATAATGTTATTCAAATTATATTATATTGAAAAACCATTTGAATACATATGTTTAATTTAAAAGTGTATTATATATCAATTAAATTTGATTCAATCTCAAAAAATTCAATCAGAAAATACTAATAATGTAAAAAAAATAGCGCCCACCGTGGGGCTCGAACCCACGACCACAAGGTTAAGAGCCTTGCGCTCTACCAACTGAGCTAGACGGGCATCTTGTATTTCCTAGACAAGCATAATATATTAGCTCCAAAAGGGCCCATCATGTAAAATACTCTATTATTCACATACATTTTTTAAACTATCTTAATTATTTCTTTACTAAAATATTCATAATTATTGTTTTTTACCAATAAATAGTATGAAGTATAAATTCGAAAAACAATACCAATAGTTTAACAAATCAATAATACAAACATTTTGAATTCATGTCATTTAATTAACAAAAGATAGACATATCATTACTTACCTTACCCTATCTTATTTTAAACAGCCACAAATTAGTTACCAATTTTGTTTGAAATATTAAGAATAAGACTTAAAATCAGAAATATCAAATATGCCATAAATCTCAAATGAACATGGTATTCAAACTTTACAATCAGTGCCCCTTATAGTTTTGAAGCACAAAAATTGAAGGGCATGCCTATTTTTTTCCCTAGATGTTAGTCTAGTCCTATACTATACATGTTCATTCTGAAGGCAACTACTAAACCACTGATTCTATTTCTGATTCTGAACCATTCTCTTGTGGATCAAATCCCAAATCAAATGGAGGTGGTGGTGGATCAACATTCAATGTACCATCTAGTACTCTCACTACCTCTTCCATCGGAGGTCTTTTCTGTTCATCGGTTTGAATGCACCAGAACGCGATTCTTAATGCACGTTCGAGTTCCTCCGAATTAGCACCATCGTCGATTCTTTTATCGACCACGTTATTTACTCTTCCTTCCAGCCATTCTTTGTAAACCCATTCATAGACTTGTCCGTGATCGTGATCGTGATCGCGACAACCGGTTAACAAGGTTAAGACTAGTTTTCCGAAATCTGCTACGTCTTTCTCTGCTGAAAAGCCGCAGCATGTAGCCTCGCCGTCAACTATTGTGAATCCGTAATCAGACACCTTAGCAACTGAGTTTTCGTCTAACATTATGTTTTCGCATTTCAAGTTTCCGTGGCTTATAAACTCCCTACACCCCGAATGCAAATAACAGATTGCTTTCCCAACAGATGAGCATATTTCAACTCTTGTTCTCCAAGTAAGCTTCTTGCAAAGAGTAGAATCGTCCAAATACTTGTCCAACGAACCATTTTTGGCATATTCGTAGACCAAATATCGATGATTGAGTTCACAACAGTAACCCTCCAGCTTCATTAGGTTCTTGTGGTGGATGTTCCCTAACTTCAGAACAGCGCTCCGGAACTTCCGTTCTTCTATGGATGCATTCAGGTCTTTGATTACAATTACACGATTGCTCGGTAGCACACCCTTGAACATATTTGGCCCAACTTGATTCTTGAGATCACCGGTGATGCTCTTGATTTCTGCAAAGGATAACACCATCAAACCTTTCGAATTCGGGAATGTGAATGCTAGTGTGACTCTTCTCATAGTAGAATTTTTCCGTCTACATATGAAGAAAACAATTCCCAGCTGGACAAAACCAACAATGACAAATGTTCCTGAGGCTGCTCCTACCAAGCAAGGAACACAAAGCCTGTGAGGAGACGGTTCTGATGGAGGTGACATAGTGAAACTGAGATTTACACCAACTGGATCTGAGCAACTCCTAACAAATGATATTGAGGTTAGAGATGGAACTTGATAGCCAGTTATGTATTTTGTTTTCCTTATGGAACATTGTGGACTACCGATGTTCGAAAAGGTTGCAACTGTACACTCAGAGTCATTCTGGCACAACTGTACACATTGCTGCAAACTACTTGTGACAATCAAATCGTCAAGAGGATATATTCCATATAGATACAAGTTCTTGTACATTTTCATTTCGGTAAGAGAACCACAATCCTGTTTATTCGAAACCAAACATTTGTTAGTTTCAATTGTCTTGAAAGGGCACCTGCACTCAGCCGAACCTGAAGCATTGAAGACACAGACACCACGTTCGCCACAAGTAGCAAAGACCTTGCATTGATTCTCGACAGCTTGCCAAACAGATCTCCATGACTGCGAATCTTCCATCCAAGAATATAACCGGAGATTGCCATCAAAATCTAGCCTAAGAAATCGATAGTTCGCAGAATCGTTGTGGTCTTCTCCAAACACACTCCAAATAGCTCTTGAATGTTGGTCTTGAAGTTGAAGAGATCCATCGGATGTGATGGTCGCAGTGAGATTTTCAGTAGAAGAATGGCTTTCACTTGTCCAGTATACAATATTACTTTCCCAGCGAAGCTGCAACCGACCAGAAGCATTCAAGTAAAGACTATAGTAACTAGTCTCTAGGTTCTTGGATGAAGCACGAAGTGTCTTGGATACATGTAATCTCTGTCCTGGGAGTAGTGTATCAGAAGGATTATCAAAACTTTGCCAAATAATGGTTTGTTTTGCGTCTACAAGAACAAGATTTCCATCATCGTGAAGAGCCACCGAAACAACAGATCTGTTTCCCGTTCCACTAGTCCACGCAGTGACTCCATGTAAGGAATCAACCAAGACAAGCTCCCCTTGTGAAGTAAGTTGAAAATATGACATGTTGCTTACTTTGACATGACCACCAGCAACCCAAACAAGAGTTTGTTGGCTATAAGGAATAGACTTTGAATTGAAACGAATGCCGACACTAAACTGGTTAGGTTCATCAGTAACGTTAAAGAACCCGAATGCAAAATCGCCATTGGTGGAAACCCAATAATTATTATCAACAACAGATAGTTTGGACCCTAATGGCATCACAGATGTTACAACAGGATGTAACAAGAAGCCAAATGAAACACAAAGCAACAATGCTAATCTAAGGAGATACACAAGTTGAAGCATGTCTATATTATGATGAGTTCAATTTCCCAAACTCACATTAACACCAAACACCTGTGGAAAAAGATAAGATAAGTTAAGAGGCTTTTGTCAATGAAAACAGCTTAAAGGGCAAAAAGCACATACAACATTGAAGTCAAATATTAGGTAAACTATGATGTCAAATTTGAAGCGCTTCAAAGAAATTTCTCAAATAGAATCAAAAGTGGAAGATAATGTACAAAGTGTGGTACCTTAATCCAAAGCTCAGAAACTCAACAAGCCACCACACACTACCACCAAGAAAATCTCAGAATCTTGCTACTAATTAGGAAGTTACCACCATGAATTTGACAGAGAATCTTGAAATTGGACAGTGTTGAGACCCATGCATAACTTCAAAAGGAATAAAAGAGATTACAAAATGAAAGCCCTTTTGACTATTGTGCAAAATAAAAGCAAAAAGCGGAACTTGAGTACTAAAAATTGAAACTTTAAGCACGGATGGGACCCAAACTACACCAAAAAGTACTTCATTTGGAAGAATACACAATCACTCTTCAAGGTTTAAGCTTTTCTACAAAGGTATTGTTAAAGAGATATAAGTAAATCGAAAACAGCTGAAATTAAAAGGCCTAAGCTAAGAACTGATGAATGTTCAACTTGAACACACCAAATCTCATGACCCAGATGGAAAGTTTCTTCCTTTTTCTCTTCCTTGCTTTTCTTAGCACGCAAGCTGAAAAGGGTAATCAACACTGAAGCTTGTTTGGTTCAGATTTGAAGGATGGAAAGAAGAATGTAAAGTGTAAAGTTTTGATTTTTGAGGAAATGGGTGAAGAAAGTGAGTAATGTGCGTGTGGGAGAAAGAGTAGTAGATAATGGGGTGTTGCTGGATTAGATGGTGATGGCGAGGAAGAGGGAAAAGGAGAGGAAGATGGTGAAGAAAAAGTGAAGAAGACAAAGGAAAAGGATTTTAAGGAATTTTACTTTATTATTGTTAATTGTTTGTTTTTATTGTGGATGTATTATTTCTTTTGAATCGAATTGAAAAGGTAAATGTTTCTTACTTTTTTATAATCGATTATTGGCTTTTAGTAGTTTTTACAAAATTGTTGATTATTGATTTATTTGAGTTGTACCTTATAATGAGACTAGTAAGAAACTCGTGTTATCGTACGGATTCTGTTTTGGTTCATATCACACTTCTTTCGGATCATCATTTATAAAGTATGAATTCATTTTTTAATTGGTTGACATTCATATAGTTATAAATATAGACTAATAATATGTACCAACTTGTAAGCATTCATTTGTTCTTATAATCAATCGTACAGTCGACTCTCTAACTTCAATTATATAAACAGCAAAAAAAATTTAGAGATAGACATTCAAATGAATAGTCTACCATTAATATTTCATAGATACGTTCACATCTACCCGTGAATGCAAATGAGTTAACAAACCCCTATTAAATCTAAATGAGTTGATTTTAAAAATGTATTAGCCCATTTTTCCAAACCTAAAAATATATAAATTTATTATTTAGTTGCTTTCAATCCCTCAAAATACATATATCTTCAACCTTTTTATCTACAACTATAATAAATTTTGTAGTTTTAAAAAAATCAGAAGAAGTAAAAAGAAAAAGTATCATGATATCTTCAATCAGTTTCAACATATAGGGGTTTATCACAGAAGTAGGTTTAGTAGATAAAACCGTGTAAGATGTAAATCTCATTTACATAACAGTATTATAAACTATCAAATAAAAAATATTTAAAGAGGAAGATGTGAAAATTTGCAAGATCTTCTGGTTGTAGTAAATATACATGTATCAGTGTCCAATGTTTTAGACATTAGAGGTATAGATGACATCAAGAAATCCAGGGAGCAAAATAAGGAAATATAACATTTTCAAGCTTATGTCCAAAGGGTTGTGAAGGACCACTCACTTCTTTCCTTGCATCAGCTTTAATCTTATTGTCAATAGTCAGTGACTTTTCGGTGTTGAATTAGACTCTTTGTTCAGTATTACATTCGGGGATTACTCAGGCTTGATAGTTGGAATTCTCATACAATTCGCCGCATCTTTACTACCTTTGGGATGGATTGGTTCGTTACCGATGTCACAGTCTGATTCAGAGGAGAAACAAAGGATTGTTGATACCATTCTTATAGTTGTGGTGTTGAATCAGATACATGACAACAATCTCAGCCACCATTCCCACAACAATTGAGCAAATGCAGAAGTTACAAATGGTTGTCAACACCTGATCACCATAGCCATCAAGATATATGTCAAAACCAATTTTCATTGGTAATCAGCATATATTACCGAACAAATTTCGTAACAATATTAAAGACAAATGAGTAAGAAATAAGTACCTTTTGAAAATGACGAACTCGGTTTTGAATAAGCAGATTCACAAATCAATTAACAGTATGATTTTAGTTTCAACTACCTATTGACTCAAATATTTGCTTTGATTTCTAAGTGTACTTACATAATAGAAGAAGTGAGAAAATTTTGCATTAAGTCTTTTTTCATTAAGCTTTTTTTCTCTCTATTTTTAGAAATTTGTTACTATATTAAAGGAATTTGTTATTTAAAGTCGGTCTTGATATTTTATAGTGTTTTAAAAGTAAACTGAAAATTAAGTTCTTCTGTGAAGTATAAATTGTGGATTAATATATTATTTTCATAAGTACAATTCTTTAATGTCATTATTTTTTAAATTACAATTATTTTTGTGGTTTTCTTTGTTGGACTCTTTGTCTTAATTTCACCCAGAAAGGTATTGTATTGTTTAATTAACTAATCAATTAATAATAATAGTTTTGACTTTATTTTATACAATATTTTGGATGTCTTTTCATCTTCTGATACAGATTATGATAGTTGATTTCCAATTACCTTATCCGAGTGATTTGGCAACAACAATTCTCATCAATGGTTTTCATACACAAAATGACAAAATGGTTAAATACTATAATCATGTCTCTTTTTATTCATTCATTTGTTAATTTTCATTTGTTTTATAGTTTGGTAAATAAAGGTACTAAGCTATAGTAATCGTCTTATTATAATATTGCAGGAAGAAAGTGCATAGATTCAGAAGTATTTTTCTATTAGTTTCTTATGGTGTTTTTTCAAGTGGTTTTTCTTAGGCGTAGAGGGTTATGGATTCAAAGAATTCCCAATCTTCGAATTGCAAGCTTGGAAGCCAACATAAGACGATTTAGTTTAGGTTTGAAACGTGTTTTAATTTGTTTGGAATGTGAGTTTTGATTCTAGTTGGTACTGATCTTGTTTATTTTTTGAAAAGCCAATAATATTTATAAAAAAAAAAGACATAAGAGATGCCAACAGTTACACCAAAACAAATTTACACACATAAAATTATGGATTACATAAAGTCTTATCTTGCTCAATCAATTCAGACTTATTTAAGCAACATACTAAGATTGCACTTCCATTTGGCCTAATTCCACAATTTCTCAAGTTCCACTTGAAAAACCAAACATCCCAAGTGCCTAACATTTTAACTCCCCAGACCAACCAGTCTGCAACTACATACTCCAACCAAGTCTTCACAATGCATGGAAAATACTCACCACATCTTTTATACCATTTCCATCATGCCGTGACAGATTATGTAAGAAACCACATTGTTCCAGTCCACTATTTGTAACTCCGACATATACCGTGTTTCCTGACCTCAATCCCACATGGTACGACACTGTTTCCAGTGATTTCTGGTAAACAACCGCTAGTCTTCCAAACTATCGAATAAACTTACTGACTGTTATTCAATTTCTCTGGTAACTCGCAGGATCGACTAGATTGATCCTAGGACTCGTTGGTCATTAGGGTAACTCTCATGATCGAACAGGTATTCATGGTTGGTATTTAGAGTATTGTGTAGGTGTTTGACTTATTTCAATTTCTCTCTTAAAGATCTAAAGGTGTAATCAAAATATGTGCGCGAAACTAATTTGCATGAATAAATGTTAATTGTAAAGACATATAAAATTCATAAAAGACAAGTAAATGGCTTCGAATTATAAAAACAGTTAATGTAAAAGATGTTCTGGAACGTAAAGATTCGAAATATGAAGAAAGCGTTTAATGCAAGAAATATGTAAAATGACTTTAAGTAAAAAATAGGCGTTCGAAAGATAAAACTTGAAGATAAAGGCATGAAGAGTATGACAGTTTTCTGAAATGTAAAGTGTTTGGAATGGAAAGAAAGCATTTAAATGTAAGGCATCAATGAAAAGATTTCGAATAAAAAGACTTTAAATGAGAAAACTTGTAAATGGTATTTGGCAGAAAGATAAAGGAAAGTACTGGAAATGATAAAGGGTTTTCATTAAATCATAAACATGTGGTGCTATCATACGTACATTGCTCTTGCATTCGTTTCCCTAGCCATGTGGTAATTTGAATGTTTACTGAGTATTTAGTACAATAGATATGACACACGAAATCTTAATACTAAGACTTCTATTTATACTACTTCGACCATAACGGTCTTGCTATAGGATTATGCCACGTTCAGAACATGCAGAACAATGCCTCTCTCTTGTTTCCACGTGTCTCCAAATGCTCCAGCACATAAATTTCAAACTTCGAATGTCCCGCTTGCATTTGAATTTCAAATGTTTTGGTACTTCTCCGTTTCGAACGCACTTCTCAGACACAGCCTTGTTGTCATTTCGAGACTTCTTTAGATATGTTCCCATAATTGCCACTCGAAGCTCCAAGCTTTGATATGCTCATTCGAAACACTGCTTCTGCTATTTCGAAACATGACGCTTTGTTTCATTTTGATCGAAACGTTCAATTCACTTGGCTTCTAATAATATTATCAAAATCTTCAGCCAACAAAATGCCCCTTTAAAATATGTATTTCGATCTCTCTGAGAAATACTTATTTTAAACATCTACACAAGATTTTGATGCGACCTTCGAATCATCGTAACATTTAATGCATTTGACTCCAGTCACGTCAATCATAACACTTTTTGGATCCCTTAACCGCCTGGAGCCACTTCACAGTATGGTGCAGTTACAAAACAATGATTATCTTTAATCACGCCTATTACCCATGTTAACTTTACGCCACCTCTTCATCAAACCAACCCATGATTTCCACGTATCACAACCTTATTCAGTGGATGCTTAAACTTCCACATTATAAAACATCATCAACTTAGTCTTTTTCTTTTCTTTCCACATTCTGAATCTTTTATCCTCCTTTTCTCACCGAAAACCCTAAGCTTTCAACATTCTTCAAAAATGTCTTCTTCTACTTCATCCCAACTCAAAAAGGTTTCCAAGAAGAAAGGAAAGACCGCAGGAACTATCATGGAAAGTAAAGTTATTACTCACCAAGGTCAATCCGTTCTTGCTCCCCAGATGATCTCAAAGGAGAAAGAAATGCTTTATGCATCACAGGTACTCATTCCTACCACCGCTGCTGGTAAGAGGTTAGCTTTAATGGGCCCTCTTACGGTTTTTGAAATTTTAAAAGATACCAGGACAATTTTCCCAGTTTGCTATAGTTTCAAACCCTTGTTTAACAAAATGGACGCCCCTAAGGCAATAGAATCTTCTGGCTCAAACACCATGGAAAATCCAACTATTCCTCCTAAGGACCCTTTTGTATTAGACTATGTAAAAAGTAATTTTAAACCGTTTCGATCTTGCCCCACCTCCGATACTGCTTATCAAAACTGGTTCAAAAAGGTAGAAGCTAAAAAATCCCAGCAATGGGAAGAATTAGGTATCTACAACTTGATTAAGCTGTCGAAGCCTGGTTTCACTTACAGCCACCCTTTGTTATTCGCGTCCCTCTATTTCTGGGACAGTACCTATAATACTTTCCATCTCCCTGGTGGAATGATTACCCCTACCTTCTTTGACATAGCGGCCATCACTGGGCTATCACCAGTAGGAGAAACATATATCCCTGACAACGAAGAACATTCGAGTATAATCGACTTCGAAGTCAAACTAGCAAGTTTTTCCAAGTTTATCAGTCACTACCATGCTAAGGGAGACAATGTGTCTGATGTAGAACACATTGCTTTCCTTACCCTATGGCTGTCAAGATACGTCTTCTGCAGTAGATCCCTACAGGTAGCCAGTAGGTTTATTCCTCTAGCTAGGGATTTGCATGAAAATCGAAGAGTGTGCTTAAGTGAACTGCTCTTAGTTGACCTTTATGAAAGCCTAAGGTCAGCTGTTTCGAGCCTAAAATCTCATACCTCCAAGAATATCCTGTTGGCTGGCCCTTTTTGGTTACTTCAGATATGGCTAAATGCCATGTTCGAACCCTCCTTGTCAACTGCCAACACCATTGATGAACAAGACCCTGAGATAACTGATAGAATAGTCGAAGGCACTAGGCTGCGAAGATTAACTCCAAATGACGACAAAGACGACTTCAAAGTCCTATTCTCGAAGTACATCATGATATTCTCCAAAAGGCATAAGTTCGAAGAGACCATGGCGCCTTTTGCTTCGAGGGCTCATGGACCTTCCTGGTTCACCATGGCTCTCTCAGAAGCTGTCAAGAGCAAGGAGATTCAGGATGTATGGAGAGCCTTTTTGCTACCTAGACTCATTTCTTCAAGAATAACTCCTGCCAAGAATCAGATTTTCCTTTTCGCTTACCAGCCAAATTTTGTTTCGAGACAGTTTGGCTTATGCCAACTAATTCCTGAACCCTTATTTCAAACTGAGAGTGCCATTACCTCTGGGCGAACTTTCAAGGCACGAGAAGCAAAATTACAGCAAGAACAATACCAAGGCTTTTCCCAGTTTGAGCTAATAACCTTCGAACCTACCCATCTCACAGCTAAGGGGTTTCTGGAATGGTGGACCAAGTTTTATCAAACTTATATGTTCGATACTCTTACAATTCAGCAGAAACTAATTGATGCCTTCGATGTGCAGGTACCAGCCAAGAAAGGTATGTTTACTCATGCCAAAGAGATTAAAGCTTTTCAAAATTATTTTGAAAACTACTTATGACCCCACGCGCTTGGAATCCACTGTGCATCAAGCGGCTGAGACCTTAAAGGAAAAATTCAAACAAAAAGTTTCTAAGTTAAAACTTCCTTCAGGGTTGTCACCTGAGGATAGGTACAGGTTGGCATTCG